ACTTTGTTCCCCACACAGCCGCCCCTTATATGGCAAGCTACCGGATTAGCCGATACCGTACCCACTAGCGAAGTCGAAGTACTGGCAGCACTAAGAAAAACCAAGGCTGAAAAAGCCCCTGGCATTCCCGATGGCATTCCCAATGCTGCGCTGCACACAATGGTGGCACCCGAAGACCAAAGCAGCACAGCAGAAGGATCATAGCCACAGTGGTGACCTCGACCATCCTGTACGCCGCGCCCATATGGGCCGAAGCTATGAAGACCGCAACATATAGTCGCCAGTGCAAAGCTGTTTACAGACGCTGCGCACTGCGCATCACAAGCAGCTTCTGCACGGTATCAGAGGAAGCCGGAACAATACCGATAGACCTCCTGGAGGCAGAACGAAGGACAGGAAGCACAGGATGCAGGACCCAGCGCAGCAGCACGATAGAGGCTTGGCAAAGGACGTGGAACAGTGCGAGCACAGGACAGTGGACGCGCAGGTTAATCCCCAGTCTAATCCCTTGGCTGCAGAGAAAACACGGGCAGGTAGATTTCTACCTCACGCAGATGATCTCCGGGCACGAATGCTTTAAAGAATACCTGTACAGGTTCAAGCACGAGCCAAACCCCTGCTGCGACCACTGCGGCGCAGCAAGCATCGAAGACGCGGAGCACGCATTCTTCATCTGCTCCCTATACGCGAGCAACCGAGCCGAAGCTGAATCAAGAACCGAGCGTTTCCTGACAGTGGATAACGTAATCAATTGCATGTTGGAAAACCAGAGGAATTGGGATGCGGTAGCTAATCTGGCTGCTGGCATCCTGAAGGACCTAAGGTCGACCTAAGGACAGAGTCGACGCAACTAGCAACAGGGACGAGCGGCAACCTGACCGCCATCCGTCCCGCGAAGTACAGCTTTGCGGCGGTCCCGCGGGAACGGAACTTTTCTACCTCTACCTCTTCCTCTTCTGTAATTTGTATTACTTCTGTATATATTTAAGCTTTTCTTTAAAAAAAAAAAAAAAAAAAAACACATTAGGAGCGCGAGAGCGGGACAGGGAGGGTTAAAAAGCCGTAGACACCGTTACCGGCTAAACGCACACTTGCACGGTTTGCGTAGGAGACGTATACACGGAGGGCACCGTTACATTTAAACATTACACGGGCACAGAGCGGAGAGTCCCGTTACCGGTACACGTCGCCGCGAATAACGGAACCAAGAATGCGCGGTAGAACCGAACCGCCGTCAGCGACGGCGCTGCACGGAGCAGGTCTTTCCAAAAAAGATCATCATGTTGAGCGCACGCAGCGGCAGCAACAAGCAAGTGGAGCAAGAGATTAGGGCGAAGCGCGCCAGGGAACAGCCAGTGGCGAAGTGGAGACGGAACTCCGATTCCGTCCTCCAGCTACTTCCGTCCCCCTTGGGGTCGCGATCCCCGTCACCGGTCAGCGAGGCTGACGCGGTGTCAACGAGCGAGGTCTCGGACGTGGAGTCGCCGTCCGAGGAGGAAGACGCAGGCCCGAACGAGGCGGACATGGGAGAGGTCGTCGCCATCTCATCAGATGAGAGCGGACCGGAGGACGCGAGCGAGGAGGAGGATGGGACGAAGACCGTCAGGTTGAGCAGGGCAACGGCAGGGTTCGGGCGGATCTGCCTAGGGCAGATACCACCGTCGGGCAAGCCCAAGGAGTGGGCCCGCATCCTGGAAGCGCAGGCGATCACGTTCCGACAATGGACCGGTCCGGGCCGCCGCTAGCGTCACCACGTCCGCCGACGTGTGGGAGGCAGTCGAGGCCATCGACTGGCAGCACCCACCGCTGATGCACCCGCGCGATGCACAACCGCGAGGAGCAGAAGACGACGTACGAGGAGGAGCGCGAGTCCCAAGAGCCCACGGAGGTTCTGGAGAAGGGGCCGTGGGAGTGGCCAACACCGCCAGAGACATCACGGGACGCGGGACAAATTACAAATTTAACAAATTATCTGGTAAGAGTGAAACGGGGAACTCCAAATCTGTCGAGAAATCTGTTGATTGCTAGCAAAGTGTTTATTGTGCGTTTTCAGAAGATGGATGTACTTAAGCTTACAATGTTTAACCAGTCGGCCGTGTTGCAAGCGCGCGCAAAATATTACGCTGAGAGGATAAAAAGAAACGGCTGTGTGGAAATGTTCAACAGGTTTCACGAATATAAAAAGCCATTTTATTTGTGCGCCAATGGTTACTTACCGTTATGATGGCCAGCATAGACGGAAGACATAATCGTTCGTCTACATTGACAACGTAAGTTAAAAACTGATCATCTTACCTTTTTTTTAACACACATTTCTTCCAGTTTCTACTTGACAGAATCTTACAATAAATTCTGACGAAGTTTATTTAGCTATGTATAAATAAGATTTATTTATATTTAAGAGACAATAATTTATTTAAGAATGCTGTTGCACTCATTGCGGACGGATGTAATGTTAATTTTAATGTAGGTTATTTAGGACTGCCACAATTATGGGACTATTATTTGAATAAAATTTAACTAGGACTCATGACGTGACGGACGTTGTATTGAGACGAGCCTATTTGAGGGAAGATTTTACAGACGAAAATTGGCAAATAATTATTCTTGACCTGCACAATTGTGTATTGCTGAAGGAATAACTGACGAGTGCAATAGGTCGTCAAAGATTTTTCATATCACACGGACGAAGTTTTAGGCTTAATTTTGCGAATAATGACATTTTAGAAACCATAGGGCAGAAAATATCTAGACGTATAGTTAGGGAAGGACAGCTGGACGAAAAGAAAACAGTTAATGATAGAAAAAATTTGTGTTTATATTTAAGATTTAAAGAATTAAGAATTAAAGAACAAATTTATATTAATAACATAAAATAATTGTGGGGATTTCTTCCGATGAAGGAGCGGGAGAACGAAAAGCGTTCCCTTTGACGCCTACAAAAGTGACCTGGACTCGGATCGCATTCACGACCCGTCAGCGCCCAAAACTGGCGCAAGTGCAAGCGACTGGTCATCGATGTTCTTTAAGGTACTTAACAAGGTTTTTGCATATCATACTCCTTGTTTAAAATTATTTGACCATCCAGTAGGCTCTAAAGCCAGTAAAATATCCAGAAACAGCAAGAATTTATAGATATTATGACTAGATTGACAAAAATCAGATCATTTGTTCATAAAAATACCAATTCAACTCTTTAACTTTGAAAGATAACTAGTTAAATGGCCTTATTTATAAAGGAAAAATAAAGATTTTTAGATTAGTAATATTTTCAAACATAGTTCTTGAGGTTCTAGTTGACTGGATAGGTTTTATGCAAAATGTAAAGTTTTTAAAAACAATTTTTAAGCGATCTGCTCCCATACTAAATGTTTGTCTTTAAATTGTTCGTCTTGATTCGCTTAATAAGCTAACAAAAGAATCTCTTTCAAGAATGGTGCAGAAAAACAGTTATCGGACTTCAAGGGAAATGTTTGACTTTTGTTTATTTTCCCTCAGAAAAAATAATACTCAAGAAACAATCATTTAATTGGGATATATTTAAAAAATAAAATTAATAAATATACTTACGGTCCCTGATCTAAACTCATATATTTAATTTTATTTTTGTTGTTCCTATTTTTATTTTTTCGCAGAAAATCGAAGCCGTTACATTCGCATCCAGCCAATGTTGAAAACAAACATACATAAGTAGTTTCTTTAAAGATAAATAAAAAATGTTCTATATTTTCGTGTGTTACACTGATAAAGCCCTCAACATAATTAGTACTTAAATAAACAAGAAAGAAAGAAAACTTCGGCAAGCCCAATTTTTTATACCCTACCAGCTAATACCAAAATTAAATTTTCTTTACAATATGTCAATTTTGATTTATATGCGTACACACAAAAACACCCTTAAAGGGGTAATAAAAAACATGACGCACAAAATTTCTGATGCTCAATTTTATGACGAAAAATTATAAAGCATTCAACCTAATAAATACACATTTTAAAATTTTTGCCAAATAAAAAAAAATAATTCATTAAAAAAGTAATTATTTTGCTGGAAAAATTATGTCAAGGAAATAGAAAAAGTCCCTTAAAATACCTGTTTAACGATATATAGTAGCTTTAGTCGTGGGCGTGTGAAAACTAGCTTTTTTCAAGCCGTTGTTTCCAAAAAGTGGTAGAGCATGCGTTCTTCAGCGCGAGCGTATTTAAAACCAGAATACAAAAATGCCCCAAAAGTCTGTTTTTTTTTGCTCCTCCGGCCCCAACAGCTCCTATATATGGACAACATTTTTTCGCACATTCACTCCCATTTCTCCGGAACCAAATGACTTTCTAAAATTTTTTAGCTAAAATATTCGATCGTTCAGCTACATGAAATTGTTTTCTACAGCAAAGTTATAATTTTTTCATTTAGTTTTTCGATTGTTCCTATGGGAGCTATATGCTACAGCCATCGGATCCGGATCGTTACGACTTATAATTTAATAATCGAAAGAAAGCTTTTGGGAAAGTTCCATGCAGATAGTTTTAAAACTGAGAGACCAGTTTGCGTAGAAACGGACATCTGATTGAAATTATAAAAATGTAACTTTTGTTTTATTGATTTTTTTTATAAAATCCTTTTGAACATGGTAATGGTTTAATAATTCAGAATTACGTTTTAAGCTTTATTAAAATCAGAAAACGATACCATATTGCTGCCATAAGAACGATCGAGTAATTGAGCTGAAAATCATTACAACTTCCATTTTTTTAAACACATATATATTTAGTTTTTGAAATAGCTGGGTATATATGTATACCTCTGCTTGCCGATTTTAAAACGCGGAGATTTTTTGTTGAAATTTCCAAAATGTAGAGATATAAGAGCAGTTGAAATGGTTTTGCGCCAAGACTGTAGGGATGCACTGAAAAACCATCGGCTAAATATCGATAGTGATGGCCTTTCCGGGAATACCCCGGATGTGTCGAATGCGGAATCGATCACGATTGGTCACTCTGTTTTGAATTGAATTCAATTGAATTGAATTGAATCTTCCGCGACAATAGCTAGAAATGTCCATGTCCTTGTGAAATGGCAGCTGCAGCAGAGGGAATCGATGGCGTCTACTCCGTGCGCCTGGTGGTCGCGGATTTCTACATGGAGAAGCCGCAGTTCGGCCTGGATCCCTGCTACTCGGAGCTGCGCGGCAAGGAGATCAAACGGGTGAGCACTATTTCACCACCACTGGTGGTAAACTGGGATAACGAACAACTGCATGCCTCCACAGGTGCCAGTGATTCGAGTTTTTGGCGGCAACTCCAGGGGCCAGAAGACCTGTATGCATGTGCACGGCGTGTTCCCGTATTTCTACATTCCGTTCGACAGGCGCGACTTTGAATCCCTGGAGCGGGGCATCCTGCAGATAGCCATGCACCTGGACAAGGCCATCAACATATCCCTGGGCCAGGCCAGTTCGAATGCTCAGCATGTGTTCAAAATCCAGCTGGTCAAGGGCATGTAAGTGCTTGCAGTGCTTGCAGTGCTTCTCCTCCTTGTCGTGAATCTCTAGAGGCGTTCCACTTTGCAGACCATTCTATGGCTACCATCGCGCGGAGCACCAGTTCCTCAAGATCTACATGTTCAATCCGCGCTTTGTGCGCCGCGCCGCCAATCTTCTCCAGAGCGGCGCCATCCTGAGCAAGAACTTCAGTCCGCACGAGTCGCATGTTCCCTACATCCTGCAGTTCATGATCGACTACAACTTGTACGGGATGAGCAACCTCCATGTGCCGCTGGAGGTGCTCAAGTTTCGGCGCAGCCACGAGGATGAGGGCAAGTAGGCTGCACAACCCGCCTGGCCGCCTCATCTAACCCTTTGTTTTAGTAATCCCCTATGCGAACGTGAAGCCCGCCCAGCTGCTGGACACCGTGAGCGTGAAAAAGGTGGCCTGCAGTGCCTTGGAGGTGGATGTCAGCTCCAACTTTATTCTGAATCGCTTCCAGCTGGTGGCCAAGAGCAAGGGCAGCCACACCAATCCGGGCATCGAGGCCATCTGGAATGATGAGAGCCTGCGTCGTCGGAAACTGGTCGAAAAACACACAGCTGCTGGTGACGAGGAGATGGTTCAAGCGGTACTACTCAGTTTCTCCTTGTTCCCAAGCTATACCTTAAAGCCTTCTTTAATTGCCAGGTTCCAGTTTTAAAGTTACCGCCTACACAAGAACGCCCCCGGATAGAGATTGCCGAGAGCGATGTCTTCTACCGCACCGCCCTGGAAAGCAAGTTGATGACTCTGGAGCAGTCCACACTGTCCGACCAAACGCTGTCGGATCAGACGGCATTGGCGGTCAATGCCACCATGCAGACCACTTTGCCCGGTTCCAAAGAGCAGAGGCGCACTTTCAACCTTCAAAAACTGCTGGCCAATGCGGTCTATCCCGAGGAATGCTCACAGGATCAGCAGCAACTGCTGGTTAATGCCTCCTTCATACAAAACCATGTGACCTGCAGCAACAGCAGCAATGTCAGTCTACCAGTGGCAAACGATGAGTCCGAATTCATGGACGAAACGATGGTGGACGAGGAGCTAATCCTGAGCCTCACACAGCCGCATGGAACAGTGCCCCACGATGCCACCTGTGGGTAAACGCTTGCCAAAAACTAACTGGGTTCTTGGGCACCTAACAATTTCATTTCGATGCAGTGCGGGAGGAGGACCTGGAACTTTTGGATGCGTTGCAGCTGCTGGAGGAGCAGAACGACAGCGAATCGCATGTGGATTTGGACAGCTCCTTGGCCCCCTTGTCGCAGAACCACAAAATGTGTAAGTGGAATGGAATACTTGCTATGCTCTGGATATTTATTCTTCTCCTAGACGAACTGACCCCGGAGCTGTTGGATAAAGAAACAGCAGCTGCTGCTGCTGCTGCAGGATCTCATGCGATCGCCGACGAGGATGGTGAGTCCGATGAGGATGCGGAGCAGGGAACCCGACATGACTTTTCCACCGCCCTCGACGACATCAACGAACTACTACTCAAACTAACCCAAAGTCAGCCTGAGCCTGTGGAGTCCAAAAATCAAGATCCCTCAACGCAATTGCCGCAAATCGATGGCGCTGATGATGGCTTGCAGAGGACACCCAAAAAAAAAACCAGCTCCAAGTTGAATTCAAGTCCTCCAAAGACACCCACCACGCCGAGAGGTCAGGCAAGCCTGCTGAGGTCGCCCCGCACACCGAAAACCAGTGCGGCCAAGAAATATGCCCCACTGCCTCTGACAATTGGAAGCAGCTCGGCAAAAAGTGGGTCACAGTAGCTGCACAACTCAAGGACTTATAATGTATCCAATCAATTCCAGAAAACAACGAGGAAACCACAGGAAAAGCCTTTAATTCCCGCCTCAGTTTGCAGCTTGATCAAGGAACACAAGTGCGAACGACGAAATCACCTGGGTAATTTTCCTTCATTGACATTTCCAAATATCCTGCACCCTTGCAGAAGACGACAGACCCTATAATATATATATATATTTTTTTTTTATTAGCATCACCAAGTCCGTCAATCTAGCCATGTCCGTCTTTCCGTCCGTTTAAACGTAAATAAATCGTTTGTTTTTAAAGCTATCTAAATAAAAGCTTCCGAAAAGCCTTCTTTTTGTTGCATACAATATATAAATCGGAAACTATTTATAAATATATTTCCGGGATTCATTTAATTTCAAAAGACCACTTTGAAAAAATTTAACGACAGTAAAGCTGCTTTATGAAATATCAGAAAACTATTAGCTAAATCAACATAAGTTCTTTGGTATTTAAAATACATGCATATAACAGGTGATATAAATGTTATATTTGCATTTTATACCCTTGCAGAGGGTATTATAATTTCAGTCAGAAGTTTGCAACGCAGTGAAGGAGACATCTCCGACCCTATAAAGTATATATATTCTTGATCAGCATCACTAGGCGAGTCGATCTAGCCATGTCCGTCTGTCCGTCCGTTTCTACGCAAATTAGTCTCTCAGTTTTAAAGCTATCTGCATGAAACTTTCCCAAAAGTTGTCTTTCTATTGCTGGTAGTATATAAGTCGGAACGAGCCGGGTCGGACGACTATAGCATATAGCACCCATAGGAACAATCGAAAAAATAAATAAAAAAAAATTATAACTTTGCTGTTTTTTAATTTTTTTTTTAGTTCTCCGACATATAGTAATGGTTAAATATTTCAGAATTACGGTTTAAATTTCATCAAAATCGGACGACTATATCATATAGCTCCCATAGAAATAATAAAAATATATAAAATAACTATATAATAATTGAGCTGCAAATCATCATAGCTTCAATGTTTTTAGACATATACGCAAGTAAATCATAGTTTTAATGTTTTAAAGAATATTTAATTTTTGCAATAGCTGCAAGGGTATATGAACTTCGGCTTGCCGAAGTTAGCTTCCTTTTTTGATTAAAATACATTTTAGTTTAGGTAAAGTCAACAGCCTAAAATAAAACTGCCATAGGAACGATCAAAAAATTATTTGGAATATATTCTATTTATAAGTTGTGTAAATGTAATTTAAAAAAAAGAACCTTTCAACTATATAAAACAGCTGCCATTGGAAAAATTGATAAATTAATCTAAAATTGACTTTATTTAAAGAGAACAGCTCCCAAGGGCTGTAAGCTTTGCTTTGTCAATTTTTGTTTCCCATCCTGTTAAAATCAAATCTTTATTTTTTGTAGGCCAGAGCTGTCGCTTCGCAGGAAACTGGCCATGACGGAACTGCGACGAAAAAGTGTCGAGGAATCAAACAGTTTCGTCCGTTTGAAGAACGAGTAGGATTTCTAAAACTCCAATGCATACTTAAAGCTGTTATAAACCTTGTTTTCCCGGCAGTTGTACACCACTTCGCAGTACCAGGCGATCGAAACGCAATCTGGACAAAACACACGTGACTTGCTCACTGACGCTGAGGGATAGAAATCCCAGTTTCTCCGACATGTTTGAAACAGCGGATGGCGAGCGAATACCAGAGGAAAGTATTCGTGACCAAACTGAGGATAGTCCTGGGATTAAGGAACGTAAGGAACCAAAAGTCAGTAAAAAAAAACCACGAAGCTCAGAAGGAAACTCTTTGGATGGAGAAAAACCAAGGCGAAGTCTGCGTCATCAGAAGAACTTGATTAATCCAGATGAGTATTTCACAGAAATAGAAAAAACAAAGCCCAGTGCAAACACCGCACGTCGAACTCAAATACATAAAAAACCCAGACTTGGAAGTAACTTAGAGGATGTAAATGTTATATGCACGAAAAGTTTCGAACAAAATAATGGAACACATAAAATAAACCCGGTGGAGAAATCATTAGATAATTTGAATACAAGAGATGCAGTGAAAAGTCCCAAACAGAAGCATGAAATAGTTACTCAACAGTCAAAAGAAGTTGTTGAAAAAAACTCAGATGAAATTAACAATTTAAAATCAATTGAGTGCTCCGTCTCTAAGTCGGAAACTTATGGGAACAGTCATGAAGAAGATGTACAAAATGAACTATTTCCACAGAAACCGGATGCTTCCCACTCCGGAGATCCGGCCAATCCCATTGAGACACGCCAATTAGCTTCAAGCGATGATGAGGCCATTGAATCGGATACAGAGAGCGATAATAGAGTCACCAAGCTACGCAAAACACCCAATTTGAGGAGACTTCGCAGGAGCTTTCGTTCGGAGCTTCTAAGCCAGCAGGTGACTCCAAGTTCAGGCAGAGCACAGCCTGACTCTCACACAACTCCAGAGATAAGTCCGAGGAGCAATGAGAACCACACTCCCGAGCTAATGAGAAGTTTCTACGAGCACTCGCTGATTGTTAACAGTCCGTCGGTCTTTAGTGACATCTTGGGTAGTCCCAGTCCCATGGTGTCGTCTATGTCCAACTGCTTTGTGATTTCTCCCTTGGAGCTGCCCCCGTCGTACGATGAAGTGGTTCGTGGTTGTGGCAAGTTGGACATACCGGAGTACGAGTTCCAGAAACCCTTCTACAGCAAACCCGCCGACGTGAGCAAGGTGACGGAGGTGGGCTTCCTGGTGCTTCACATTCCGGGCAACAAGCTCAACGACTGCGAGCCCTTCCAAAGTGTCCTGGGCAACGACCGTGGGCTGGCCTCCTGGCGACGCCAGCAACTGATAGCTATCGGTGGCCCGGCCATGTTGCAGCGACATCGCGGGGAACAGAGGATGCGGGAGTACTTCGGCAGTGGGCAGAAAGTGGCCATCGAACCTGTCCAGCTAGCACCCACCCGGCAAGAGGCCAAGGTCTGGCTGAAGGCCAAGGAGCTGCTTCGCCAGCGAGAGGAACCAGCGAGGCCATCAGACGACATCGACAGTCCCATCAAAATCAAGCGCCAAAAGATCACCATGATGCTGCAGCCAGAGGCAGGCGATGCTGCCAGTGGCGACGAGGACGCTGGCGAGGACTTCAATTGCAGCCTGAGCCTTACACCCCTGTCCCAAGCCAAGGGTAAGGCCAAGGACACCCCAATAAGTGGCAAAGCAAAGGGAGTGTCGAGAAATCGCCTTCAACGAGGGACCAAGCTGAACTTCAAGGAATGCCAGGAGGACGAGGAGGAGGAGGAGGAGGAGAAGCCAGCCAGCACGCAGTCCAGCGAGCAGAGCGTCTCCAGTAGTGCTGCCCAGGCGGCGCTGGAGCGGAGCTCCTTCCTGCGCCAGTTGGAGGGCAGTAGCCAGGAGGTGCTGCAGCACGACCTCAGCTTCGGACTGAGTCACGCCACCCTGGACAACACGTTCGGGTTCAAGGTCAACCTGGAGAACCTGCAGCAGGCCAAGGCCGACATCGAATGCAACCACCTGACCATTTTCACACTGGAGGTCTTTGTGTCCACGCGCGGCGAACTGCAACCAGATCCCATGCACGACGAGATCCGCTGTTTGTTCTACGCCATCGAGCATAGTTTGCCGGACGAAGGTCTTCCGAGCAAGGCCTGTGGCTATATCATGGTCAACAATGGTCAGGATTTGCTCAGTGAGGGGCGTATCCATGGCCTGGATCGGGACATCGAAGTGCATGTGGTGGCCAGCGAATCGGAGGCGTTCGAGGCACTGCTGGCCTTGTGTGGACGCTGGGATGCGGATATCTATGCCGGTTACGAGATCGAGATGTCCTCGTGGGGCTATGTGATCGACCGGGCGAAGCATCTGTGCTTCAACATCTCACCTTTGCTGTCGCGAGTGCCCACGCAGAAGGTGCGCGATTTTGTGGACGAGGATCGGGAGCAGTTCACCGACCTGGATGTGGAGATGAAACTCTGCGGCCGCATCCTGCTGGACGTGTGGCGTCTGATGCGTTCCGAGATCGCCTTGACGTCGTACACATTCGAGAACGTGATGTACCACATCCTGCACAAGAGATGTCCCTGGCACTCTGCCCAGACGCTCAGCGAATGGTTCTCCTCGCCCTGCACTCGCTGGATAGTGCTGGAATACTATTTGGAGCGGGTGCGGGGCACCTTGGCGCTGTTGGATCAGCTCGACCTACTGGGACGGACCAGCGAAATGGCCAAGCTCATCGGCATCCAGTTCTACGAGGTGTTGTCGCGCGGATCGCAGTTTCGTGTGGAGAGCATGATGCTAAGGTGAGTTCTCCCGCTCTAATCATCCCATTGCATCCTATTGTGATAATAACCAAACTCCACAGAATCGCCAAGCCAAAGAACCTGGTGCCACTCTCGCCCAGCGTCCAGGCTCGAGCTCATATGCGGGCACCCGAGTATCTGGCTCTGATCATGGAACCGCATTCGCGCTTCTACGCCGATCCGCTCATCGTGCTCGACTTCCAGAGCTTGTACCCCAGCATGATCATCGCCTACAACTACTGCTTCTCCACGTGCCTGGGTAGAGTGGAGCACCTGGGCGCGAGCTCGCCGTTCGAGTTCGGTGCCTCGCAGCTGCGGGTTTCCAGACAGATGCTGCAGAAGCTGCTGGAGCACGACCTGGTCACCGTCTCGCCGTGCGGCGTGGTGTTCGTGAAGCGCGAGGTGCGCGAGGGCATCCTGCCGCGCATGCTCACCGAGATTCTGGACACGCGCCAAATGGTCAAGCAGTCGATGAAGCTGCACAAGGACAGCTCCGCCCTGCAAAGGATTCTCCACTCCAGGCAATTGGGTCTCAAGCTGATGGCCAATGTCACCTACGGCTACACGGCAGCCAACTTCAGTGGCCGGATGCCTGCGGTGGAGGTGGGTGACTCGGTGGTGTCCAAAGGCCGGGAGACTCTGGAGCGGGCCATCAAGCTGGTGGAGGCCAATGAGGAGTGGAAGGTGCGCGTCGTCTATGGCGACACGGACTCCATGTTCGTTCTTGTGCCCGGTCGCAACCGAGCCGAGGCCTTTCGCATTGGCGAGGAGATCGCCCAGGCCGTCACCGAGATGAATCCTCAGCCGGTGAAGCTGAAGCTGGAGAAAGTCTACCAGCCGTGCCTGCTGCAGACCAAGAAACGCTATGTGGGCTACATGTACGAGACGGCCGACCAGGCGGAGCCCGTCTACGAGGCCAAGGGCATTGAGACAGTGCGTCGCGACGGCTGTCCGGCGGTGGCCAAGATGCTGGAGAAGGTGCTGCGCCTGCTGTTCGAGACGCAGGACGTGAGCAGGATCAAGCAGTACGTGTGCCGACAGTTCACCAAGCTGCTCTCGGGCAAGGCCAATCTGCAGGACCTGATCTTCGCCAAGGAGTTCCGCGGTCTCAACGGCTACAAGCCCACGGCCTGTGTGCCAGCACTGGAACTCACTCGGTGGGTTGCGCTTAAGTTATTGCCTGCAATTCCGTTTCACAAACATTTCCCATATATTTCACTCCAGAAAATGGATGCAGAAGGATCCGCGACATGTGCCGCGTCGCGGTGAGCGGGTGCCCTTTATAATTGTCAATGGGCCGCCGGGCATGCAGCTCATTCGCCTGGTCCGCAGCCCCCACGACATTCTGGCCAACGAGGGCCACAAGATCAACGCCATCTACTACATCACCAAGGCGATTATACCGCCGCTGAACCGCTGCCTGCTGCTGATCGGAGCCAATGTGCACGACTGGTTTGCCAGTCTGCCGCGCAAGTTGCTGATGACGCCGGCTGTGGGAACGGCCAACGAGTTGGCCGGCGCACGAGTGGCCAAGTCCACCATTTCGCAGTACTTCTCCACCACCAGCTGTGTCATCGATTGTGGCCGCCAAACCAAGGCGGGCATTTGTCCCGAGTGCCTCAGGGATGCCACCAAATGTGTGGCAATGCTCTCGGATAAGACCGCTCGTTTGGAGAGGGGCTACCAGCTCACCCGACAGATATGCCAGGCATGTTGCGGTCGACTGGGTAGCCTCCAGTGCGACTCACTTGACTGCCCAGTTCGTTATGTTCTGGAGGGAAGACGAAGGGAGCTCCAGCAAATCGAACACTTTCAGAAGCTGCTGGAGATTCACTTTTAGTAGAAATTCTCATTCATAGTGGGTGTATATATATTTCAACTTTCTGCTCGCTTACAAAAGTTAAAATTCCATTCATTGCTTGAGCCAGTGATTCTAAACATGTATATAGCTTAGACACTACTTTTGCAATTGGGTGAATCTGTTGCCTGTTTAATACTAGAGGAATTGTTAACTATTAATATTGTTTAAACTTATTGTGTTGTGATTGTTTTGTGAGCGATGAGCATGCAGCCAATAAATGAATGTTTACATAAAAGTTGTAGTTTGCAAACATGTTTTGCAATATGAATGAACATGAATAATTTTAATCATAATAATAGGTTTTTCAGTTCAGCGTAGGATTTCATCTTCCGTTTTAACAATTTCATTGAGTAACCGAATTTAATAACAATTAGTACATGGTGTAATGAATATTTTGATTTCTGATTTACCCCTGATTCGTGTTGCCTAAATACAATTCTTCTATGTTTCCAATTGAACAATTATCTTGGATACAAATCGAATTACAGTATAAATATTTAAAAAAAACATAGCATTTTTTAATATATAAGTGTAGGATAAAAATCTTGAAACATGCCTCTAAAACACTCAAAAAATATGAATATATTTCTGGTTTACATAACATCATCCTCATCATCCATTTCAAACATCATGGCGTTCTTGACATCCGATTCGATGACGTTGCCCTGGACACCTGCTGCTCCAGTGAGATCCAGTCCGCTGTCGTGGAGCAAGGACTCGCCCTTGGGTTTGTTGTTTTTCCTTGAGGAATTCTCTTGTTGCTGAAATGAAAAATATATGCATTTTTATTATCTATTATTATTTATATTTTTCAGTCCAGTAAGTATTATTGAGCGTTCAGAATCACCAACTTAACAAGCTTGTACAGTACACTAGCTTACAAAATTAGTTCCACAATTTTTTATGGACATACCAAAACCGAAATTGGAACTTTAATTGCACGAAATTGGAACTTTATCAAAGCCAGCTATAAGTCTTGGTTTTCTTTTTTTTTTTTTTTTTTTTTTTTTTTGCAATTTTATTGATTTTTAGTGGCATCTACATATGTATGTTAACAAACCAATCGTTAATAAGTATATTGACAACAAGAAAGGAAGCAAGATTCGGTAAGCCGAAGTTTATATACCCTTGCAGCTATTGCAAAAAAATCTAAAACACAAAAACATCTTAAAATTCTTTCAAACATCTTAATTTCGATTTATTTATAGCTTCAATGTTTTCATCGTTCCATGATATCGTATTTTATATTTAATATAGTTTTCCGATTTTAATAAAATTAAAATCTTAATTCTGAATTATTAAACCATATCTACATCCAAAAGACAAAAAAAATAAATAAATAAAAGTGTTAAAATATTATTCCATTTATTTTTTTTCAATATTCCGATTGTTTCAATGGGAGCTTTTTGCTGTTCTCGACCGATTTTAATAAAAATTATATCGTAATTTTGAAATAATACTAATACTATATCTCGAAAAGCTACAAAAATATTTAAAACAAACTGCGTAAAATCGAACAGACGGTAATGGCTAGATCGACTCCCCTAGTAATGCTAATCAAGAATATATATATTTAAAATAAATTTTAAAATAATGTAACTTTTATATTTTTTATTTTTTTTTTTTTTAATATTTTTCACTTATTAATAATTTGACAGTTCAGAATTACGTTTTTAATTTTATTAAAATCGGAAAACAATATCATATTGCTGCTATAGGAACTATCCAATAATTGAGCTACAAATCATCATAGCTTGAATGTTTTTAAACATGTACACAAGTAAATCATAATTTTAATGTTAATCATTTTGCCTTTAACAAGTGCATATATTTTCCATTACCTGATGAGTCCTCTCCAGCTACTTATCAATTAACATACTTTAATTAATTTTCGCAACATTCTTGCTATAAATAGAGCCCATTACCGATCTATTTACCTTCCGCACACGTGTGGTACAATGAGTTGACCAATATTTATGTCTGGCGTCAGGCAAATCAAGCCAAGCTGCTTGATCTCACTGATGGCTACTAATTCAATTAACAAGCTAACAACCTAACAGCCTCCTAACCAGCCGGGATATTCGCTCAATTAACGAGACCAGCAGAATCAAGAGATATAGATCTAGATCGGCCACCCCAGCTCACCTTGAGGGCAGTGCCACGGGTCTCCTCGTAATCCACGGAATCCCCTTCGCTGAGGCGACGCTGCTGGGCCCGCAGCTTGAGATCGCGTCGCTTCTGGTTCTTCTTGCGCTGACCGAGGATGCTCGAGTCGAGTCTGCCGAGTTGAGTAAATTAAATGATTAGATTGCCGGCAATTTGCAGGGGATTTAGCTGGTACTCACCGGAACACTTGCTTCATGATGTGATCATTAAACCTAACAGTCTTCTTGCAGCTCTCCGAGAGTCCGGCATCGGATCGATCCTCCTCGGGAATCCCGCCGAACGAGTGCGAGAAGAGCGAGGTGCCGGAGGCGTCCACGGAGCACGAATACGAGGAGCAGTCGTCGATGGAGGAGCAGCTGTCCGACATGGAGGGTCGCGGTCCATAGCGGCTGAATCGCTTGAGGATGCCGCGATGGGAGCCACCGCTGCTGTCGTTGCACTCCGAGTAGCTTCGCTGCTTGCGCTGCGGCATTGGCTTAAACATGGCCTTCGGCTGGGAATCAGGATTTCCATCCTGTGGCTCCTGGACAAGAATATCCTCGCAAGCAGACTCCGAAAATGAACGCTCCTTCTTGTTACGCTTGCGTTGCTTCTTTCCGGGCTTCTTGTTCTGCGTCTGCTGATGGTCCTGTTGCTCGTTTCCGTGCTCCTGATCTGGCTGCTCCTCGCCGTGCTCCTCCTCCTTGGTGTCCGGCACCGGTCGAATGGTCACCTTCAGGGCTTGACCCTCCTGGTTGTGCTCGAACTTGACATCCAGCGGAGCATTCTCTTTCTTTGTATTAACTCTCCTTTTGCTCTTCACATTGTACTGCCCGTGAACTGGGTACTCCTTGAGATCCTTGGCATCTAGTCCGGCCAGATAGCTAGCCGGAGCCTCGCTCTGCGGGCTCAGGCACAGCTTGAGCACCACATTGTTGTCCCAGGCCTCCGCCTCCACGCTCTCAATGGCGGAGTCTTCGTCCTCCGCCGGCAGCTGTACGTAAAAAGCATAGTGGGTGGGATAGTAGCCGCTGCCGATGGTGGCGAACTGCAGATGCAGGCTCCGCTGCTCTCTCAACTGCTCAATGGAGTCCGGCTGAACGTTGGGCACGTGGAGCACAAAGGCCATCACATTGTCCAGCACGTTGCAGTCGAACTTGCTGGGCAGCTGATAGAGCACGGAGCTCTTAAGGAACGGGCTGTTGGCGTTGCGCACGGGCGTGGCAGTGGGCGTGGCAGTGGGCGTGGCTGAGGAGAGTACACAAAGGGAATTAGGGATTTATCGATAGCTTTATTACTAAGGGACTGCTGATCACAAATGTATAGTTTATAAGTACGGATATGACTCCCTAAATATTTTGCAATGACCTAAATACTTGACTTTATCATACATCTACTTACCAGTCGCGGAAGTATCCGCCTTGGAATCGCTGAGTTCACCGTCGGGGTCCTCCTCCACCGGCGACTCGCTGTTGGAATGCAGCTCCACGCCGCTGTCCTCGCGGCTGAAGTGGCGCAAGGTTTCGTGCATCTGGGCCTGCTCCCGTCCGCCCTTCCGGATTACGGGCAATGTGATGCTCAAACGACGCAGATCCGTGTCGAAGCGCGCACTGCCAGCCTTGTCGTTCACGGCGAAGGGCAGGTCCAGCTTCAGGCGGTATTTGGCGCCCTGCCGCTCGCTGAACAGATATACGGACTTGGAGGTGACATCCAGTTGGCACTCGGCCGTGGAGCGCAGAAGCGGCAGCTCGATCTCGACGACAAGGGAGCGTGGCACCGTCACATGCAGCTTGGCGTCCAGCTCGTCCGTGTATTCCGACAAGTCCACATCGTGGCTGTGCTTGATCGAATACTTGGGCACCGAGAACTCCGGCACCGGAGCGGGCTTCGTCTTCATGGGCAGGACGCGGGGCTCCACCTTTTCGGATGAGGGTAGCTTTGTGGGGAACATGTGCGCCAGGGGATGCGGCTCCTGCTCCTCGCCAGTGGGATTTGCGGCTAGCTTCCGTATCACAGTGGGACGGGCGATGCCCTTGTAGTCCAGCTTGGGGAATTTCAGATTGGCGCGATCCAGAGCCACCTTGAACTCGCGCTCGACTGCGTCCAGTGCCGTGTCGATGAGACACTTCCGGAACTGCTTGTTCCGCTTGGCCAGGTGCAGGGCGTCCGGATGGAAGACCACGTCGAACACCTTGCAGTGGTTGTTCCTGGCATCGCAGTCATCCCGCGCCGTAGTCTGGGCCATGGGAATGGACCAGCTGAGGCCACGACTGCCGTTCGACGGATCCGTGGCCAACTCATTCTTGGGCCTCTCGACCTCCGTTGAGCTGGCGATGTTGATGAAGCACTTGAGCTCGCCATCCAGTGCCGTCTTGATCACGAAGCCCGGCTTCGGGTGGACGAACCTCACCTCTACGCCGCGCTCCTTTTCCAACTGGATAATCTCCTCTTCGTAGATCTTGCGGTTTTCGGGGTCCTGGATCTCCTCGACGTACTCGAAGAACAGCTTGCGGAACTCCTCCTGGCTGAGGGCCTCCCGGAACCGGTTGAACTCGTCCTTGGTTATGTCGAGCTGTTCATCGTCACGGAACTTTGAGTGTTTATTACGCGGACCAGTCGCGGATGCGGACATAGCGCTTTCAGAGGGACACTTCACTCACGGAGAGATCTCGTGGGGTCTCTTCTCGGCACTTTAATTCACCAATAATAATTTTTGTATCACTTTTGTGGGTTTAATTTTTTTTTTGTTTGTTTTGTTTAGGGTTGCTACGATTTTTGGCCGGTTGCCTTAGAAAATGTGTTTAGGTTCTGCAAAATTAGGAATGTAGAAATATGATGAATGATTATTGAGCTGATTATTAACACAACAAATATCCGTTAGTTAACTTTTTAGCGCAAAAAAAAGCAATATGCCTTAACAATGAACTGAACTGATGAACTGTTTGATTCGGAAAACTGTCGGTTTGTAGATAAATGTTGAATCGAAAATATAAACATATAATTTGCGATTTGTCGGCGTTTGATTGGGATTGAGCCCTGATCAAGAATTCATTAACTTTATAGCGTTTTTACTCTACGAGAAATGTGTTT